CCAACCCCCCACACACCACCCCCACAACATGATCAGAACTTTAATTTTTTCCTAAATTACTGCGTTGTTTTTATAGTCAATCTCTCTCTCTCTCTCTCTCTCCGGCACCCCACCGTCTCTACCCCCCTCCTGGCATCACTCCCCCCCCCACCTCCACCCTGTAACGAGACGACACAGAAGTTGTCACAGTTTAGCGAGGTATATTATTCACCACCTTAACGAGACGAGGTTTGATACCCTGTCCAACAACTTTACTGAATGACCTTGTTTAGCTCATTAGTCAAGTTAATTACCTTAGAAATTAGGTAATGATACAGATATCAACAACAAACCTTCATTAAAAAAAAAAACTTGTAGAATTAATAACAGTGAAGAGAATAACTCACATCTGGTCTCTAACTTTCTCCTGATGTTAACAAGAGATAAAGTAAGTAAGGTATTTTGGAAGACTTGATGACCTAAATGGTGTTTGTTTTCAAGTGAGATCTCAAGGTTAGGTTTAGGTTAGGTTACGTTAGGTTAGGTTGATGATGCCTGAGAGCTTGTGTTAAAATTGCGTGATTTACTGCGAATATAAAAGGTCATCCCAGGTTGTGTCACATCTAGTGTCCTTATAACTATGTGTGTGGGGGAGCAGTGAGGGAGTGTGGGGGAACAGTGGGGAGTGTGGGGAACAGTGGGGGAGTGGGAACAGTGGGGGAGTGTGGGAGGCAGTGAGGGAGTGATTGAATGAGGGTGTAAGGGAGATAATAATTTATTGGTGAGTGTGGGGTCGAGGGAGGTAGGAGGTGTGTGTGTGTGTGTGTGTGGAGGGTCGTCACCTTTGTCTCACCTGGTCTGAGACACCCCCCACCCGCGGCTGTCACCTCCTCGCGTCACGCCACTGCGTCTCTGTCACGCCCCGCCCGCCTCGTTATTGTCACGACAAATAGTGGTGGTCACGCAGGCCTGGGAGCGTGACCTGCCGGGCTCTGGGTCACGTGACGAGGAGGTCCTGGCCAGACTCACACACTGTTTGGAGGTCATCAGAGGTCAAGAGACAGAAGAGGGCCTGGCGAGGATACAAACAATGTGTCTCTTGTTTTCATTATACACCTAACCTAACCTAACCTAACTTAACCTAACCTAACGCCAGTGCATTTATGAAGAACCCGACAACAAATAGAACTGAGGTACTGTGGTTGCTCGTGAAAGAAAGATCTGTCAAGTTTGCTGCCTAGTCTGTTGTGTTGTGTTGTGTTTCAATATAAGATTTATCTCCTGCGACAGCCACCTCTCCTACCTCTACCTCCCTCAGAGAGAGAGAGAAAGAGAGAGAGAGAGAGAGAGAGAGAGAGACTAGGCACTGCTCCCCTGTTTGTGTGTGTGACGCGACCCGGAGCCTTGACGAGGCCTCTGATCAAACACCTCCGCCACCGCACACTCGTCCTACTCATCCCGCTCGTCACACTCGTTCCACTCGTCACAGTCGCCAAACTTGTCCTACTCTCCCCACTCATCCTATTCACCCCACTCATCCCACTCGCCCCACTCGTCCTACTCGTCCTGCTTAGCCTTGGATATGTAAATAGGGAAACCAGATATCAGATGAACAAAGTCGATGTAAAGAAATCCGACTGTGAGGAAGATTTCGGGGTAATGATAAGTAGGAATCTTAGACCAAGATTACATTGTGTATACTGTATGCAGGAAACAAGTCTAACAAAGTCCTTGGGGTCAGACAAAGGAGTGTTAGTTACAAAACTATAGCAAAGTTATCCTGAAACTATATCTTGCGCTTGTCAGACCTCACTTGGATTACGTAGTTCAATTCTGGTCACCGTACTACAGAATGGATGTAGAATCCCTAGAAATAATTCAGAGGAGAATGACAAGACTAATCCCGGGCATTAGGAACCTTGAGTACAGAGACAGGTTAAAGCATCTTAATTTGCACTCCATCGAGAGACGTAGAGTGAGGGGCGATATGATAGAGGTGTATAAATGGAAGTCAGGGTTAAACAAAGGGGACATTACAAAGGTACTCAAACTATCCAACCAGGAGCGAACTCGTAACAATAGTTTTAAATTAGGGAGGAGAAGAAGGAAAAAAGGAAGGAGAAGGGGAGAGGGAGAGAAGGAAGCAAGAAAATAAAGAGGGAGAGAATGAAGAAAGGAAGGAGGAAGAAAAGGGGGAAATGAAGAAAGGGGGTAGAGAGTAAAGGAAGAAAGAAAGAAAGGGTGGGGGAGGAAGGGAGGGTGGGAGAGAAGAAAGAAAGGAGAGAAAGAGAGAGAGAGTGAGGAACGTATGTAAACAGACCCGTCATGGGAAAAGGTGTCCTGATGCTCTCTCTCTCTCTCTCTCTCTCTCTCTCTCTCTCTCACCCCTAATGTACAAAAGACAGAAGCGGTCAAGAAACACCCCCCCCCCTCCCCTCCCAATAAACAACACCTGAGATATCTAAACTTTACCCAGAGGCCAGTTTTTGTTTTTCGGTTTTGGCCTCCAGAAATACCTCGTAAATACCTCGTAAACAAAAGCTCTCCTCTCTCTCTCTCTCTCTGTAGACACCAATTTAGTTCAACGAGATTATTAATTTAGTCTCTTCTTGACCTTTCCTACAAATCTACATTCTCGTCTCGACTAACAACTTTCTAAAGGAGTGATGTGCTTTCCCTCTGTGTCCATCTGTGTCGCTCGTGTACAGGTAAGAAAGTAGGTAGGTAGGTATGATGATGAGGAGGAGGAGGAGGAAGAAGAAGAAGAAGAAGAAGCAGAAGAAGACTAGGTAAGGAGGAAAAAGAAGAAGATGGAGATGATAATAATAATAATAATGATGATGATGACGTAGATGACAACAATGATAATGATAACAATAATGATAATAAAACAAGAAAACAAACCATAATAAATAAAACCAAAAATAAACAATAAACCAAAACACTACAGGTACTACATAAAAAAAAACCAATGACTACTGACCATATTTATTATAACTAAATGATTATCAACTAGACAACTACACAACTACACACCGCTGGAGAAGAAGCAATATACTCTACAGTGAGAAAATTACTTTGTTATTATTAAACAGAATATAAGCCATAGATAATGATAAAAAGATTCATTTAGGTGTTTTTATGTGTTCTCGTAGGCTGATGGAAGGTGTGGTGGTGTGGTGGTGGTGGTAGTGGGGTGGTGGTGGTGGTGGTGGTATGGGGGGTGGTGGTGGTAGTAAGGGTGGTGGGGGTGGGGGTGGTGGCGGTGGTGTTTGCAGGTGGTGGTGGTGGTAGTAGTAGTAGTAGTAGTAGTGGTGGTGGTAGTCGGTGGTGGTGGGGTGGTGGTGGTGGTGGTGGTGGTGGTAGTAGTAGTAGTAGTGGTGGTGGTGGTAATGTGTGGTGGGGTGGTGGTAGTGGTGGTAGTAGTAGTGGTAGTGATGGTGGTAGTAGTGGTGGTGGTAGTAGTGGTGGTGGTAGTAGTGGTGGTGGTAGTAGTAGAAGTAGTAGTAGTTGTAGTAGTAGTAGTAGTAGTAAGTTACAGTCTTTATATCAACACTTATGGGTAATATTTATAATGGGAAACTCTTAACATTCAGTTTACAAGATCAGAAATTGTATTAAGAAAAGACACAAGTGGTGATTTAGATAAAGGGAAGAGGTGTAACACTATACCTGTAATTAAGGCCTATTGATGACACTGTACCTGTAATTAAGGCCTATTGATGACACTGTACCTGTAATTAAGGCCTATTGATAACACTATACCTGTAATTAAAGCCTATTGATGACACTATACCTGTAATTAAGGCCTATTGATGTTTTTGATTAATGATGCGAAATTTTAATGGTGATACTTGAGCCAGACTTAGAATATTAGTCAGGTAAGGTCAGCATTTGTATTATTTAGGTATAAGTACAGGTCCAGTCTAGCACACACACACACACACACACACACACACACACACACACACACACACACACACACACACACACACACACACACACACACACACACACACACACACACACACACACACACACACACACACAATACACACACACACACACACACACACACACTGTTAATATAATCTGTATTTCTTAATAAAGTTTCATCATAAAAAAGTAACAATATTTTTCAAAACGTTAAGGACGGCCTCGCAGCAACTACCTGAAGTAACTTACAGTAACAAAACATAACAATGTCATCTATGATAAGAAGTAGACAGTGTATGGCAACTGGTGATGAGGGGATAAGAGAGGCAGCCGTCGCCCCCAGCTGCGCCTCCTTCAAGTGAGAGGTGAACCCTTCGGCGCTCACTCAGGATGGTAAGAAACAAGTTCTACACAGATGCGGACATAGCCTCAGCTGATTGGTCCTCCCTTACTATAAAACCAAGGTGAACTTCTTCCTACTTAAGAGCTAACTTAAGTTTAGTTTGGCATAGCTTATGTTAGATAAGCTAAGTTAGGATTAACTTAACGTTAATGAAAGATGTAATTGGTACATTATGGGGAAATGATTACAAGTTGACGACATTACATAATGTGGACCAATCAACATGCGTCCTGTCTGCATTAGTGTGGATTCTGCCAAAGTTCGTCGAGGAAGAGGGAAGCTGCCTCGTTCTTCTATCTGCTCCACCTTCAGGTGAAGATTAAGTCACCCTCTGGTGTCCTGGGGAAGACCTGGTCACCGTTGGCAGCTACGCCCTGGTGGTCAACGGGAACGGCCCCGCCCTGTACACGGTATCCTGCGGCGTCTGCCACATAAGAGAGAGAGAGAGAGAGAGAGAGAGAGAGAGCAAAAACTGATTATTCCTCCTTTCAAAGACTTGGTTCGAATATATACCATTAAGAAGTAAGTTTGGGCTGACATAATGACCGGCCTCACTGTGCTGACTCCACGTATAAAAAATATATTTTTAAAAATTTTATACCCTGGCCACACCTTGTTACAAACGGCCGGGGTGATGAGTGTACTGTGATGCTTGGTGTGTGTATCGTGATGCAGGACTCACCTATACGCCCCGAACACAGCCTCGCCTGGTATGCCGTACTGGAACTGTTCTTGCTCTGGAGTCTCGAAGGCCACGATAACTTTACCTCGACCGCTGTTCAGAGGCGCCGCCGCTCCACTCACCACCACCGTCATCATCACCACCACCACCAGGGCTGACTTCACCGCCTTCGGCAAGTTATTGGAACAAAACACACGTGAAAAATGAATTATTAGGGAAACTTGAATCCTAATGGGTTGTTTATATTCTCTTGAAAATATTTAATGAGTTATTTTTGTACATATTTATAGTTATAATCAGGCAGGTGAGTTAATACCGCACCTGTACATGAGGTCAGGTTCTACATACATCGAGATTTATTGGAACCCGTTCTTAATAAAACTTGATCCCGCTCGTCCCACTCTTCTTAAAGCACAAGCCGGAGGGGGTCAGGACTGGTACGGCACAATTACCAGCACTAACGACAAGCTTCTGACCGCGCTGACGACTTATCAATAGTGCCGGAGTGAAGGAAGGTGGCACAGAACCAACTGGCACACCCTCACCAAGTGTTCTCCTTGTCGCCTCACTAAGCATAATATCACAATGATGAGTTTTGAGCTCGTTGTCGTCTCCATCAGAACAGGGTGTCTGGCGGTGTCTACTGGTCCCTCATGCTTACATAAAACTCTCCCACCTTCCTCCTTGTGTCCAAATTTATTATAACCTTTTTTTTCTCAAACTCATGAACAAGTTCCTCAGGCTGCGACACAAACATGAATGACCTAAATAGTGTCTGAAAGTAGAGTTTGACTCGATCTTACCTAGATGTGTTATCTCAATCCAAATTAAAATGAAGGTATTTGCCCTAAGAACCTTTAACATCTCAAGTTCGGGTCGTCAAGTTCTTCAGACAAGTGAGCCTAACTTGTTTGCTTTACTGTGTCATTTTTTGTTTGGTTTGATTGATGGAGAAATGGATGAGATTATGAATAAGGGAGAAGTTATATGAGATGTGAGGGAAGAACTATGCTGAGTGAGATAGGGAAGGAGGGAGGGAAGGAGTGTGCCGGAGGAGAGGGGGATTTGTCGATTGGAAAAAGGGGTGACGTTGTATATATCTAGCAAGAGGTAGGGAGAGGGAAAGGTGTTTGTAACAGAAAAAAAAAGGTCAAGGGGGGGGGTGGTATTAAAGAGGGAGGGGAGGGGGGAGGGGGAAGAGAAAAGGAGGGGGAGGAGACAAGGAGTGGTAGAAAGAGGAGATGAAGAGAAAGGGGGAGTTAGGGAGGAAGAGTAGAAGGGAGAAAGGAAGAGGCAGGAGAGGGAGACTTGAGCCTGTTGTTCTTGAGTCCATAATCTTTCAATGACACGACAAGTCTCCTAACCTCTCTCGTTGTTACGTTCACGTCAGGTCATATGAGGAACCTGAGACCATAGTGTAAAATATTTTTGTATTACATCAGGCGGGAGACATGACACTTATAGAGGAACTTAATAAAGGCGAGAGTCCAAACACCTAGTCATGACAAGCAGACCTCATGGCAATCAAACGTGCAAATTCTTCTGATCATTAAAATTTTTATGCAGAAGTTTGAAAAGTAATCTTACAAGAGGTAGAGCCAGTTAACCTTTCATTACTGTGGAAAGTACCATTTGGGGTTGGGATGGGGTCATACACGGTGAGGTAAGTCATGTCAGGTCAATGATAAAACAACAGTGAAAAATATGAGATTAGTATAACAGGTTAGGTGAGGAGGGTGTATGTGTACTAGGTCAGCGTGGGGAGATAGGGAGGGTGTGTAGGTAGTAAAAGGTCAGCGTGGGAAGATAGGGAGTAGGTAGAGGGTCACCGCTTGATCTGGTTGTTGGAGGGAAGATCTCCGTTGCTTCACCACACTAAGTTGACCTTTGACCTTTTGACCAGTTACCCAGTAATTGTATAACCTAGTTTTTTATAGCATGTTTTAATGTCACTGTGTGTGTGTGTGTGAGACGGTATGTTGACCTTATTAAAAAAAAAATAAGGCGAACACTGAACACTTTGCAAGTCATGGGTTTTTGGACGTTCCCTCCCCTCTCCCTCCTCTCCCCTCACCCCTCCTCCCTCTCCCTCCCCTTCCCCCTCACCCCTCCCTCCCCCTCACCCCACTCCTGCCCCTCCCCCTTTTTAGGTGAGTGCATGATCAGGTTGAGTTTTTTGCGATTACTAAACCAGGTCATAGTTAAGAGGTGGTCAGTATGCAGGAGACAAGCGCTCTGGTTACCACATTGGGTGAGGGGGTGGGGGAGGGGTGAGGGGGAGGGGCGATGGGGGAGGGGTGAGGGGAGGAAGGGGGGGGAGGTGTGTTACAGGTGTTATTGGGTGATTAATTAGTTGCTTTTTGCTGTATATATTTTGATGGTTGAGTTTATTTACACACACACACACACACACACACACACACACACACACACACACACAGTTTTTTTAACCCAGACAGTTGTTGCGACAAACACTGCGACAACAGGAAAGGCTTAATCTAAAGTCATCAGTTCTTCGCTACATCCGCTAATGGTCTCAGAACACATAACTCAATGTTTTTTTTTCTGATTTCCATTAATCAGTTTATCTTTTTTTTTCAAGAGATAATATTTAAATTTATCTGGAAAAACGGAAATGAATTATCATCTGCTAAAAGAACAGGAAATGGTGTTGGAATAAGATAAACTGATGACGGAATTGATGAGAGATGTCAGAGCGTGCGTGTGAGGCTTATGTGGGTTCAGTTGGGTTCAGTTGGGTTTGGTTGGGTTTGGTTGGTTTCACTTGGGTACGTTTCGTTTCGTTTGGTTTCGGTTGGATTCGGTTGGATTTGGTTTGATTCAGTTGGGTTCGGTTAGATTCAGTTGGATTCGGTTGGATTCAGTTGGTTTCGGTTGGGTACGGCAGTAAGGACTCGAATGGGCGACATAGAGGTGAAAATACCATACATTAACCTCACCTTCTCTCTTTCCTAACATCACCCGGATATTGCTGCACTTTAACCCTGAATTATTATTACCCCCATAAAGTATCTTTACGGAGAGGGTCGATGAGTTTCACAATGAACACTACGACTCCTGTTGTCTCGGTAGGGTTGTCAAAATCCTTCGTCCACTGTGTCATATTGTCTCATACAAAATCGTAGACACTTTTTTGGAGGAGCCAATAGAATACTTCAGCTTAGATTGTAAATTAAATTAAGCTTTTTTTCGTGTCAGCTTGAATCATCATTTAGTTTTGAACGATATTTTAGGGACCAATTTATGTATAACCTGTATTCTTCCCGTGTATTCTTGTAATGAATTTCTGTATTTATGAAATTAAGTTAGGATCCCATTATGTATTTTGTTTTGTTAGTATAAGTTAATTAAGTTATCTGAATATTAACCCCCAAGAATATATTTATAAACAGTCTATCAGAATACTAACTCACATAAGCTACGACTTTATCATTGAATCTTAAAAAAAAAAAAGTTCTTAGATTATTTTATTTCACTTAATCTATGGCCCTAATATGGGTTCTTAAAAGTCTGTACTGTGTTAGGTAGTGGTAGACCTACACTGGGGGGGGTGGGGGAGGTGAGGAGGGAGAAGGCAATAAAGGATGAGAATTATAAAAGAGATAAAGAAGGATAAGAAGGAGAGGAGAGGGGAAGAAGATGGTCAGGGGCGACGAGCAGGTAAAGAAGGAGGAAAGGAAGTGGGGGAGGAGGTGAGGAGCTAGGTAAGAGGAAAGGAGGAGAATGAGAAGAGAGGGGGGGATGGAGGAAGCAAGGAGGAAAAAGACTGGAAGGAGGTGTGTGGAGATAAGGAATAATTAAGGCAGGAACTAACTTACTGGGGAGGTAATATTTCTGTTTCGCTATAAAGATGATGGAGAGAAAAGTAACAGAGATAAAGAAGAGAAAAGAGAGGAGGAGGAGGAGAGATAGAACGTACCAGGAGAACAATCATAATATATTGATAAAAACAAGCGAACAGGAAAGACTGATAATAACACGCACACACACACACAAACACACACGGCACTGAGAGTTGAAGGACGCACACGTATAAACCTGCACATTCACGCAAGTACACACATACACACACACACCCAGCCAACAAAATAACTTCATTAGCAATTAGCACCATTCGTTATCACCCTCACTATGCCTCTCCCTTCACTCAGCTATTCTCACTTTCCTCGCGCACTTCACTACCCCGTACGATAACTCAAACAGCCGAGGCGACAACACACTACCTTGACATACTCCTAAGATGCTTTCAGTCCTGTTCATTCTATTAACACCCTAAGGTGATATATACATGTAATTACAGGTAAAAAAAATATACAGTCATAGGTACAGGTACATGAGACCTTTAAAGTGATTATAGTACAGGTGTTGGTAAAATTGAAGGTATGTTTCATAAGCCAATCGGGAGAGGTTATGGTAAGGTCAGGTGAGATTGCCAAATGATAAAATACCAAGTATAGTTTTAGGTACAGTTACAGGTACAGGTATAGGTATAGGTACAGGTATGGGTACAGATACAGGTACAGGTATAGGTACAAGTGAAAGTTTAGATTATAGAAAGGTAGCATAGAGTAGATAGTATTATTAAAGGTAATGTATAATATAAAAAAGATTATCTAGAACACACACACACACACACACCACCTAACAACTCATGTTACTTGTCACTATCCCTTGAAAGAGAGGCAGATAGAATGTTTGTGCATATACAGTATAGCGTATGTCTTTGCGTTAGCTTGTGACTTATATATACAGTATACTATATATATATGTGTGTGTGTGTGTGTGTGTGTGTGTGTGTGTGTGTGTGTGTGTGTGTGTGTCTATCCACTTTCTACAACAGAATAATATTTACTCAGTTCATTAGACACTTTACTTAACATCCTAGAGAGAACATCAGTGGCTCTGTAAACTCCATTTATAAATTCCTTATTGTGTTCACTATATCACGACACAAAACAACATTCTTAACCTAACCTAACCTAACCTAACCTAACCTAACCAAACCATTACATGAGTTTTATACAGGTAGAGAAGTCGACCTGAACGAGATGATTATTGAAAGATCGACATAAAGAAGATGATGAGTGAGAGGTCAACTGGTGTCGATATGAGGGAGTAGTCGAGGTCGATATAGAGGGTGTGGTATAGACTAAGGTGTGGTGATAAAGGTCGCTCGTGGAGGTAAAAGATCAACAGGAAACAATCAGATGAGGCTGTTTTGGGCAGGTGTGTCACTCTGTACTCCGCCCACCTTGGCTCACTCACACACTCACTCACACTCTCACTCACACACTCACTCACTCACTCACTCACTCACTCACTCACACACTCACTCACTCACTCATTCATTCACTCACTCACTCACTCACACACACACTCACTCACTCACTCACTCACCCTGAAATATTTGACTGGATATGTAAAACTCTTTGATGCGTGTCGTTAAAATAGCTCCTACATTATGCTCTTATTGAATATTCAGTTCTCGTGACTTTGACAACTTGCCCACGGTGAGGAAACGCCTCAGCTCAAAAGGGTCAGAGGTCAACACACCCACCCACACACGATCAGGCAGGATTTTCTATTCACCTGTTGTCTGGATTTGACCTCATATAACTGTTAATTCGACATCGTATCTCCCTTATCTCTCTCCTAAACAGTAACGTGAAGATGACAATGTAAAATGGTTAGGTTAGGTTCGGAGGACAAGTGGATACAGCATTCACCTTCCGTCCTGAGTGTTGTTGGTTCGCACCCAGAGGATCTCCCCCCCCCCCAACTCCACCCAATCGTAGAAGTACAGACGATCGAATGTGATATTGGCTATGTTGTGTCTTCGTTTACCCACATATGCTAAAACACACCCACATATGCTAAAACACACCCACATATACTAAAACACACCCACATATGCTAAAACACACCCACATATGCTAAAACACACCCACATATACTAAAACACACCCACATATGCTAAATCACACCCACATGGGCCAAAACACACCCACATATACTAAAACACACCCACATATGCTAAAACACACCCACATATACTAAAACACACCCACATATACTAAAACACACCCATATATACTAAAACACACCCACATATACTAAAACACACCCACATATGCTGAAACACACCCACATATACTAAAACACACCCACATATACTAAAACACACCCACATATACCAAAACACACCCACATATACTAAAACACACCCACATATACTAAAACACACCCACAACTACTAAAACACACTCATTTCCTGCCCCCCCCTACAATCACTCTTTCGTCTTTAAAATATCAAAGACCTTCACCCAGCAGCCTCATACCAATACTCCCCTTATCTCCTTGTCTCTCTATCACCATTTACCCAGACTCTTCTCTTCTCTCTCTCCCCCACACACACCTTCCAAATGTCATTCCGCTTTCATAATATTTAGGGTTGTTTTTCTTCCCTTCCTCCATTTCATGTAGCCATTGCAAGGCGTGTAAACATGGACCTTGTACCACTTAATGCTTCATCAGCTTAAAGTGTCACTGTGTGTTTCGTAAAGGGAAATGGTTTAGTTATAATTATTCCTGTGGCTCGTAAACTTATTCTAATTTCGAAGGTGTTGGGTTTGCCTAGTTAGATTCTGGTTTAGGTGAGTTAAATTCTGGTTTAGGTGAGTTAGATTCTGATTTGGTGAGTTAGATTCTGGTTTGGTGAGTTAGATTCTGGTTTAGGTGAGTTAGATTCTGGTTTGGTGAGTTAGATTCTGGTTTAGGTGAGTTAGATTCTGGTTTAGGTGAGTTAGATTCTGGTTTGGTGAGTTAGATTCTGGTTTAGGTGAGTTAGATTCTGGTTTAGGTGAGTTAGATTCTGGTTTAGGTGAGTTAGATTCTGGTTTAGGTGAGTTAGATTCTGGTTTAGGTGAGTTAGAAGTTTTTTGTCTTATTGAAGTTAGTTAGTTTGTTAATTGTTTATATATAGCCCCTTGTTTATAGTATCATTATGCTTAAGAATACAACAGCGATCATGTTTACAGGTGCTCAACAGGTGCTCATGTTTACAGGTGTTCAACAGGTGTTCATGTTTACAGGTGCTCAACAGGTGTTCATGTTTACAGGTGTTCAACAGGTGTTCAACAGGTGCTCATATTTACAGGTGCTCAACAGGTGCTCAACAAGTGCTCATGTTTACAGCGGTGTGGTTATAGACCTCACAAAGATAAACACAACAAGGTACACATTTTTCGCCAGAGAGGTTGACCTTTCCTCACCTTGGCTGACCTTGCTCAGTGATGTACGTATGTTTGTCTTGACCTCCTACCTCATTCAATACCCTGTTTCCCGTCTCTCTTTTCCCTCTTGTTTTCTTTCTATCCATCGTTTATCATTATTATTATCCCTTGTGTTCTATTTTAGTAGTCGTCTTTAGTTTGAGTATTCGTGGTTTGGTTGGTGTTTGGTTGGTGTCTGGTTGGTGTTTGGTTGGTGTCTGGTTGGTGTTTGGTTGGTGTTTGGTTGGTGTTTGTTGTGATCTGTAGTGCTAACAGTTGAGTGCGGTGTGATATAGGTGTGTGTGTGTGTGTGTGTGTGTGGTGGGGGGTGTTGTATCACCTGCAGGCTATAAGTGAGACAGGTATAATGTGGTTAATGAGTTACCTGTACTCACGAAGGTTAGGTGTAAAAGACAAGGAAGTAAGTTAATCATAGCAGAGAGGAAGTGGGTGGCAAGGTCGTGTGTTTAAATTTTGTCTACGAGGACGTCACTATGGGGGGGTGTCTACGATGACGTCCCTATAGATTGTGTGTCACAGGGACGTCACCTCAGGGGTGTCTCTGACGCGTCCCTATGAAAGAATTAATGTCTACGAGGACGTCACTATGGGGTGTGTCTACGAGGACATCACTATGGGGGTGTGTCTACGAGGACGTCACTATGGTGTGTGTCACAGGGACGTCCTATGGGGTGTCTACGAGGACGTCCGCATGGAAGTGTCTGCAGTGACGTCACTATGGTGTGTGTCTACGAGGACGTCACTATGGGGGGGTGTGTCTACGATGACGTCACGTAGTCAGGGAATGTTTACACGTTAGTCCGGATCAGCTGACGCGCCGACCTGTTACAGCAAGTTTCACCAAAGAAGGAAAGCTGATGCCTTCATTAACATTTAGAAAAGAAAGATAAAAAAAATAAGTAGAAAGTTGTATATATTCAGACACATACACACGTAAACACACTTGTACACACACACACACACGTAAACACACCTGTACACACACACACACATACACACATACACACACACACACACACACACACACACACACACACACTTATAAATTATGAAAAATAAAAGTAAATTTATTTCATGATTCAGTAAATAGTGAAAAAAAACAGGAAGAGGAGAGAAGGGGAAGGACAGAGAATAAATAGAAAAAATAAAGGAGAGAGGAGAGAGAGAGAGAGAGAGAGAGACAGCCAATTAACAAACACAAGCACAAACTAATACCATTGTTTTGTTTTCACCACATCGTGCCCCCAAAAATAAAATACTACTTGTGTGACAAAAAATACAAAAATACTTTAAAATGCCTAAATAGTATTTTTCCTCCCTTCATCTTATTAACCCCCACCCCCCACCTCTTACCCCTCACCCCCCAACCCCACCCCACCTCACCCTAAAAAAAGATAAATGCTCAGAATCAAGTACCAGAATTTATACCAAAACTCTGATGGTATTTACCGGAGGAGGAATGTAATCCGCTTCAGGTAACCTTAATGTAACATAACACTGCAAGACAAGGACATAATGGTCGATAATTTTGTTGAAACGCAAGACAATGATCTTACTAAATGTCACGGTGTGTGTGTGTGTGTGTACGAGACATACATACATACATACATACATACATACATACATACATACATACATACATACATACATAAGGGAAAAAGATAGATAGATAGATAGATAGATAGATAGATAGATAGATGGAGAGAGAGAGAGAGAGAGAGAGAGAGAGAGAGAGAGAGAGAGAGAGAGAGACTAGCTCAGGTTGGGTCGTTCTCACTCGTCCTGATTGACCAGTCAGATTCCTTGGGAAGAATGAGATCAGGTAACCCATCCTAACCCACCCTTTCTCACCCCCCCTTTCCCACCCACCAATAAGTACTAGAACTTCCAACGTATATCACATCACTATCTGTTAACACAATCTAACACCAGTTAACACCATTCTAACACCCGAGGATACACCTGGTATAGTGATTAATTAACACATCTGCTTATACTGAACTGTCATATCACGTCACTTTATATCATATAAGATTCTGTGGCTAATTCATGATTATACTATAGAGAGCTTAACATTATCATTCATTTAACACGGGTATAACATTCACAATAGCACAGGTAATAGTATTTATATAACACGGGTATAACATTAAAAAACTAATTATTATTCTGGGATGATGAATGACATTTAACACTTCACTATTATGAGACCATTATAATCTTCACATTGTACACGATTAATATATTTTCTCCGTCAACAGCGAATCCGTATTGCTTAGACGAACGCTAACAGTAATCACAACATTGCCCTGCCGTCGACGCTGAGGCACAAACGTTCCCTCCACAAACGTTTGCTGGGTGAAGTCGCTCGCGGTTGGTTTGTTTACTTAGCAGAGTTTGTAATGTTTAAGGTGTAACTGAGGAGAATTGTGTTTAAGGGAGGCAAGGAAGTGTTACCAGGAAGTATGGTAGGGTGTAGGGATGTTATGGTGAGGGTGTGGTGGTGTGGGTAATGGTGGTGAAGTGGTAGTGATGGTGTTGAGGGTATAGTGGTGATGATGGTGGGGCTAAGGGTATGGTGGTAGTAATGGTGGTGAGGGTGGAGAGATACTCACTGAGAGAGACATCGACGTGGTCATGGTAGAAGTAAGTGTTAGTCGCCGCGACACGACACAACGACTGCTGCGCCTGTACCTCGTGGCCCGCGACGTCTGCCCGCCCTGACGCACGGTAAAAGTGAAGGTAACAGGTTGGTTGGTCAGTGAGCGTTGACCTTAGTTCCTGCCGTTGTGTGATACTTCCTAGGCCGGCCTGGTCACCTACCCTAGCTACCACACCAACACAGTCAACATGGGCCCCTGAGCGCTGTCAACAGAGAATGGAGCCGTATTGTGACTCTGGTTGAGGTGGTTCGTGTGAGTCAGAAAGCACAAAGTTCAGTTATCCACGCGGGAGGTAAAAGTCATGGCCACTTTCATTCCAAAAAGTTCAGAGCGAAACACCCAGGTAACAATACAATGGTGGTGTGGGTATCAGCTGGTTGAGGTCGATTGAGTACCATTATTGTGTTTCCTTCTCACGTGTCCTGCCCAACAGACATTTACATCTACTTTACAGCGACTTCCTGCAACCTGTCCCACGCATACTCGAGACGGTGTTGTCATCAAGAGGAACAAATGGTGATGAAATAGGGTAAATGCGTGTGTGTGTGTGTGTGTGTGTGTGTGTGTGTGTGTGTCTGTGTGTGTGTGTGGTAAGGTGACACGACAGAGAGGGTTAGTTAACATACTTTTGGTGAGAACTTGGGAGACGACCTCGCCAGGGGCCTGGTCAAGACAAGTGACCTCCACACACACACACACACACACACACCGTCTTACACCACCTCTGACAACGTAAAAAAATGCAATTGGACATGCATCAATAAACCGGAGGACGAAGAGACAGACAGACAGACTTTAAAAAAAAAAGAGTCAAATCTTTCACATAATTCAGAGTCAGCCTACCATCTACCCTCTTGCGGTCCACTCAGGTGTTACCAAACCCTCACCTGTACACAGACAAACCAATTACCAATCAAAAACAAATTACATAAATTATATCCTCATGACCGTGTGTAATAGCTAAGTAGAAGAAGAACTAGAACGAAAAAAAATTGTTAGTGGAATATTGAAATAAGTTAAGGCACGTAAGACAAACTCAAAAACTGACTTACATATGAGGGAGTTAATGAGATGGGGTGTTCCCTGCTTGACCGGTCCAGGTGTAGTATGTGTAGCTCATTAACCTGTAGAGAGGAGAGCCAGGTGAGCTATTATCATCATCATCATCATTATTATTATTATTATTATTATTATTATTATTATTATTATTATTATTATTATTATTATTATTATTATTATTATTATTATTTATTAATATTATTTAAAATAGAAATTGTAAACATAAGTCAAAACATCAACACACTTAAACATGATAACAATTGAAAAGGACTTACTGAATATACTAAACCTTTGTGAACCTTAATAATAAAGTTAATTATAAAAACATCTTGAGTTAATTTTGTAAGAGAAGTGAAAGTGACTCAGGATTTTTATTTATATGTTTCTGGAGACGAAATGACTTAAATAAATATATAAGTGTGAGGTAAATTTATGATATAAAAAAATACTTTGTTCAGTGTGATGTAAATGGTGTGGTATTAAGGTGAAATCACGGGTTTGTTGACATTGGGTGGTGGTTGTTATTCTTACAGGTAGACCACAGCTGCCACACTACTACAGCTGCCACATTACCACACCTGCCACACTTCCACACCTGCCACACTTCCACAACCACCATTACCTTCACTTCCAACACATTCATCACAACCACACCCACCACACTCCCTTCACTACCACACCCACCACACTCCCTTCACTACCACACCCACCACACTCCCTTCACTACCACACCCACGATTGCTATACCTACCACACCACTACATTCACTCAACATTCACTCACACTTACCACACCTACCACACCCACAACACCCACACCTACCACACCCACACCCACCCACCCACTACCCCACACACACCCCCACCCCACCCACCACACCTACTCCACCACACCCCACCCACCCAGCCACACCTACTCCACCACACCCAGCCACACCTACTCCTTACAATCGGACCTTAAAAAGCGAAAGTGTAACAGAGAAACAAAAACCAGCTGAGTGACGCACCTTACCTGGCGGCCTGATGAACTGACCTTTACCTGTGTGGTCAAGGTCATTAGCCCTATATACCTGGTGGGTTACCTGGTACACCTTCCTCTCCATGCACCTCCTTCCTTCTTGTCCCACATCCCTTCTCCCTCCCTCATTTGCTAGCCCACCTCTCTCTTTTCTTCAAATCCTATTGATTATACACCTGGATAAATACTATAATCTAGATCACATTATATTATCCAAATGATACCTTGAACATCCTAGATTACAATAATAAGTAGGAGGATTATTAAGGATTATTTATTCGTTGTTGTGGGATGTTACCTGCCTTGTGGGTTAGTGGGGAGAGTGAGAGAGTGATAATTCTTACATCTGATAGCCACGTTGACCCGGTGCAGAGAGAGAGAGAGAGAGAGAGAGAGAGAGAGAGAGAGAGAGAGAGAGAGAGAGCACCTATTTTCCTCTGCTTAGTACGTGTTGCTGGCATTTGCTTGGCTGCCCTCATTCAGTGCTGACGAGAGTATGGCAATGTCACCGACCTCTGCAGGGGATAATATCGGGTCCTCGCTCCTATGACCTGTAGGAGAGCTGTCGTCCTCCTGTCACGCCTGTCATCAAACTAACCTAACCTAACCTAACCTAATCTCTCTACTGCCTCACAAGACTGACTCAAGTTACCCTGACGTAGTTTTATCAGAGCGTCATTGCGTGGTGGAAGGGAGAGGTAATGTTCATATTGAAAACAACCGTCATTGGAGGCAGAAGGCGAACGAACGCTTCGTCTGGCGTAGCGTTAATATCCCCGGAGTTCCTGAGGCTGGACGTAATGTGTAAAGGACCAGCGGTGAGCCTCGAGGAGATGACAACCTCAACATGGAGTTAGTATACAGTACATTATTTACCACCAGGTGAGTGTGTACAACTAGTGATGATAACAGCCTGAGTGTGGAGGACTAGGAAGACTTGGAGGCAACTAGGAATAACAAGGATAACTTGATCATGTGGTAATGATAACAACAAAAAACTTAACTAGCAAAAAAATAGTAACAATATTGAAAATGTTAACATAAGAACCACGGATATCAGGTGTTGATTGAGAGGTTCTGGTAAAGGCCGGACGATGCCGAGACAAAACGTGACGTCCTCGGCTCAGGGTCGATGGTATGTCATGGTCACGTTGGACTTATTAGATAGAGCTCAGGTGTTGGTTGCTTCCTTCTTAACCCCCACTGCCCAGGATCATGCCCAGAGACAGGTGTGCTCTTCGTCTGTGTGTGTTGACATTATGAGACCTCGTGTGTAGTCTTGTCTGAACTGCTGCCTGCATTATTGACTGTGAATTAAAAAAGTTTGTTGCTTTACTCTTGTTTCTGAGTTAATTAGATTATTGTACCTGTTCGTGTAAGTTAATTAATAAAGCTCTGTAATTCTGCATGTGACTGTACTTTCGTTTCATAATTTGTTAAATCTTTTACACTTATACGTGTATTCTTGCTTCTGAACTAATAGACCACTTGACCTATACCTATACCTGTATCTGTGGCGGTACAGGTGAAATATTCCTCAATTACAAAGAGAAAATGTTATAGAGAAATACTGACATATAGACAACGTTATTCTGACACCAACCAAAAAAAAAATCCTCAAGATAAATATAACTTATTTTGTACACATAGGTCGCTGGAAACACTGTAAGCTGAAGAGTCATGCCTAAAACAACTTGAACTGGTTATAATAAATACAAGTTAGTTAATGTCACTCGTAAATTATTACCCATTATGTTCACAGCCTATTGATTGATGACCTCAACGCGCTAGTTTTTCTCTCATCTGTTAAACTATATCTGGATATAAATTAGTCTAGAATAGGTTTAAATACTCTAAAATATTTCCTTGGTTGAGAGAAAGTGGAATTTGGAAGGTGAGGTCAGTATTTCTTCATATATTTCCTCATTATAGGCGTTTGCTGACCATTCTATGAAGCGTAAAAAGAGACAGAGAGAGATGTCGTCAACTATAAATCTCTACCTTAGTATAGTCAACAGTCACGGAGGAAGAAGAGATAGAGAGAAGTTATGAAGTGTTATCTCATGGGTACAGTTGGGAGGTGTTAAGTTACAACATAAGGAGAACACTGGTGACGTGGGTGGGGAAGGGTGTGTGGTGGGGGTGGTGTGTGGTGAGAGTGTGGTGTGTGATGTGTAGTGCATGGTGTGGGGTGGGGCTATGGTGTGTAGTGGGGGTGGTGTGTGGAGAGTTAAGCTGTTACATGTCAGTCAGGAAATGTTACGTGTTTACCTGGGGTCCAAATGATGTTCTGGCCCAAGGAAATAACTGTTTACCACAAGTTACGATCTAGTTTAAAGGAACCGACTCCATAAAGGTCTCTTATCTATCAAGGTAAAGTCCACACACCTGAGACTATCCTTTACCTGTGCCAAGGTGTAATTAAGTTTCAATTTTATAACGCAGTGGCTCCTTATTGAACTGAATTGCCAAGAACATATTGTCTCTAGTGATCTACTTCCTTCCTCTATCCCAAGAGAGAGAGAGAGAGAGAGAGAGAGAGAGAGAGAGAGAGAGAGAGAGGAACACAGAGGAAGTGTCTAATGGCGCCCCTCCAGACACTTGACAGTAAGTATAATTATTGATTAGAAAAAAGCGTGTGGTGCCCCTCCGAGGTGTCAAGTCGCCCCCTTGCCGCCATGATGGACGCGCCCTTTGAGCTTCTCTTCCCCCTTCCCTCCTTCCCACGCCCGCCTCCTCCCTCACCCCCAGATACAGTTAGCTAAGGGCGTCGAATAGGAGGGTAAGGGGGAGGGAAAGAAGGGAAAGGAGTAGGAGAAGGGAGAGGCTAAGGGAAGGGAAGGGAGGAGGGGAAGAAGAAAACAACAGAGGGGACGCGAGTAAGGGGGCGCTGCATCAAAGGGGCGCGACATGACCCCCTTCCCCCCCTCCCCATGGAAGGAGAGGAAGATTGACAGATGGGCGGTGTCACCCGTCAACCAATGGCAGAAGTCCGTTTAGGTTGGGTGTTGAGGCCCTTCTGACACACACACACACACACACACACACACACACACACTCCTGTTCATTCCTCTCATTCTAAGTCATCATTCTTACTGTCCTCCTCAGTGACCTAGACCTCACGTTCTATACTTCGGGGTC